GGGGGGGGAATGGAAATTTGTTGAAGAATTTGTATAATTTTCTTTCTTTTTTTTTTTTTTTTTCTTGTTGAAGGTGTCTCGCGTGTTTGAAACAGTGACGTGTACGCAGTGTTAGAAAGCCGATACACTTCTCTTAAGAAAACGTCTCTCGGGAGGAACTCTCGCGAGTTCTGGTAATTTCTTTCACCGGGCACGCCGCTTTCCCACGAGTTTTAAAAACTTCCCTCGCGTCTATTCAAGAAAAATGGTAGAAAGCCTACCAGGGAAAGGCATTTCAGGGAAGCGAATGCAGATTCTCCGCCGGGGCAATGTTTTGAAAAGTTTGCAAACCCCCTTTTGATGAGTTTACGAGATCCTTCTTCTCCCGCTTCTCCTCCATTGAAAGTACTTTTGCAACGCCATGTTTCCAGCTGCACACGTTGTTTTATTCCCAAACAATTTTTGACAATTGAAAACTCGTCTTGTCAATTTCTTCAGAATATAATTAATAATTTATACATCTCACATATATATATATATATATATATTTGTAGTCAATGTGTTGCAATTTAAGATTCTGTTGCCGAAGATCTTATTCACAAACGTTTAAACATTTTTTCGTTCATCTTGATAATAACAATAATATTCGATGTTCTTAATCTTTTAGACAGTTCGAAAAATATTACTCGCAAATACTTTTTCTCTGTCGTTTCAATCTCAATTTAATCCCAGTACGAGTTATTTCAATTTCTGACCTTCGACTGATTTAATTTCAATTTTAAACTCAACAGCCGGGGAGGCGGGATTCTTTCAGAAACAAATGTTCAAACGACGATTATCGATTTGAAATTAATTAACAGTCGTAATGGTTAATGTCAAATTTCATTAATATTTCAACACTTTGAAATCAGTACACGCTGGAATCTGTACACGTAGGGGAAGGATTACTCGCAAGTGGTTGAGATCACGAGATCTAGGTCGAATCATCTTGCGCTGATGAAACCTCGAACTTAAGGGCCATGAAATCCCCGAGTCTTTAGCTCGGAGATCATAGAGTTATTAATTTTCAATTTTAGTTGCCCTAAGGTAACCCAGGGGTCATTACACACCTCAACACCGAGATCATTAAACAGGTCACCAAGTGCAGGACGTAGAACCACCGGGACGAGGCCACGCTCGACGTTGAATTATTCCAAAATCTCAGGGAAGTCACGTCGGTTTCAGTTCACGGGTTCAGTCGACGACGTTGGATCTTCATTTAGATCAACCGGAGAACGTATAATCACAGTGCCGGATCGCCCTGTGATCGTGGCCCCTCGCGAATTGGATTACCTTAACGTTTTCGAGAGACTTTGACCTGGATCCTCTGCCAGGGGATACTTGATTGGCGTGCCTCTGGGTTTAAGAGTCCGCAATCTAAACCCCGAGGAAACTTTCTAATCCCCAGGGAGAGGGCCTTGTAGTTGATCTCTTGTTCCAAATTGTATCTGGCCAACGCCAGGATTCGAGATTCTACAGTCTCGTTGTCACCGTCTCGCAACCCTATCAATGTCCAATTTTGCGTGCTCGGGATTTTCGAATTTTGAGAAGACTTTGCTCGTGTATTCGCATCCAAATTTATTAAATCTCTATGCGATACACTCTGTTTGAGTGACCTATGATCCTGTAATTTTGTAATCTTGTATGTGATAATATAATATAATATTCTTGAAGCTTTATATTCTCGAAACTTTTGTACTTTAAGAATCTTAAATCTTCTTCCTTTTCTTGATCTCGTGTACGTTCAAATCTTTCGTAGATTTTATGAATCTTTCGAAG